GCCCAGTGACACCAGTGATCCCAGTCACACCGGTTACACCAGTGCTCCCAGTTTCACCAGTGTCCCCAGCGACTCCAGCGCTCCCCTTGCCGCCCAGTTCCCCCAGTCCCCCAATCCCCCACTCTCCCCAGTCCCCCCAATTCCCCCATTCCCCCACTGTCCCCAGTTCCACCCATTCCCCCAATCCTCCCATTTCCTCAATCCCCCAGTCCCCCCAGTTCTCCCAGTTCCCCCAGTCCCCCCAGTTCCCCGTACCCCACAGGAGCTGGAAGCGCTGCTCCAGCTGCAGCAGTTTGAAGGCGCTGCGCGCTCTCCAGTGCTCCCAGTGCTCCCAGTTTCCCCAGTTCCCCCAGTGCCCCGTACCCCACAGGAGCTGGAAGCGCTGCTCCAGCTGCAGCAGTTTGAAGGCGCTGCGCGCTCTCCAGCCGCCCTCCTTGGCCAGCCGGTAATACACGTCCCGCTTGTCCTTGGAGGAGCGGCCCATGGCGGGGGGCGCCCGGAGCTGGGGGGCACCCCGGAAACGGGACACCGTTAGTGGGGACACCCCGAAAACGGGACACCCCGAAAATGGGACACCGTTAGTGGGGACACCCTGAAAACGGGACACCCCGAAAACGGGACACCGTTAGTGGGGACACCCCGGAAACGGGGACACCCCGAAAATGGGGACACCGTTAGTGGGGACACCCCGAAAATGGGACACCCCGAAAACGGGACACCGTTAGTGGGGACACCCCGGAAACGGGGACACCCCGAAAATGGGGACACCCTGATACCTGGGGGGACACCCCGAAAACGGGGACACCGTAAGTGGGGACACCCTGACACGTGCAGGGACACCCTATTAACGGGGACACCCCAAAACCTGTGGGGACACCCTGTTGACAGGGACACCCCAACACCTGCGGGGACACCCCAAAACCTGAGGGGACACATCGAAACCTGCAGGGACACCCCAAAACCTTCTGGGGACACGTCAAAACCTGAGGGGACACCCCAAAACCTACCGGGGACACCTCTAAAATGGGGACACCGTGAGAACACCCCGAAACCTGTGGGAACACCCCAAAAACGGGGACACCCCAAAAACGGGGACACCCCAAAACCTGCGGGGACACCCCAAAAACAGAGACACCCCAAAACCTGCGGGGACACCCTAAAAACAGGGACACCCCAAAACCTACCAGGGACACTCCAAAATCTACCAGGGAATGCCTCAAAAACAGGGACACCCTATTAACATGGACACCCCGAAATAATGGGGAGACACCCCAAACACGGGGACACCGTTAACGGGGACACCCCATAAACGGGGGCACCCCATAAACGGGGTAATCTCCAGAGCTCATTATTTGTGTACCCCATTACTTGTTTATAAGTTTTGCCGTTTATTTGTGGGTTCTACCCTAAAATAACGCCACTGTTTATATGGGGGGCACACCAAAATGGGGGGGCCTCAGAGAAACCCTGTGTCCCCCACCCACGGGTGCCCAGGGGCTGCTCAAACCACTCCAAACCCCTTAAACCCCATTAATTTAATTTAGAATGTGTTATTCCGATGTTAAACCCACAGACCCTCACCCAAGGGCTGCTCAAATCACTAGAAACCCCTTAAATCCCATTAATTTCCCATTAACTTGGGACGCGTTATTTCGATGTTAAACCCAAGCCCTCACCCAGGGGCTGCTCAACCCCTCGAAACCGTTTAAATCCCATTAATTTAATTCAGGATGCGTTATTCCGATGTTAAACCCACAGACCCTCACCCAAGGTCTGCTCAAACCAGCAAAACCCCTTAAACTCCATTAATTTAATTTAGGATGCATTATTCCCATGTTAAACCCCACATCCACCACAAACCCTCATACAGGGGCTGCTCAAACCACTCCAAACCCCTTAAACCCCGTTAATTTAATTTAGGATGTGTTATTCCGATGTTAAACCCACAGACCCTCACCCAGGGGCTGCTCAAACCCCTCCAAACCCTTTAAATCCCATTAATTTCCCATTAATTTAGGACGCGTTATTCCGATGTTAATACCCACAGACCCTCACCCAGGGGCTGCTCAAAACACTCCAAACCCCTTAAACCCCGTTAATTTAATTTAGGATGTGTTATTCCAATGTTAAACCCACAGACCCTCACCCAGGGGCTGCTCAAACCCCTCGAAACCCCTTAAATCCCATTAATTTGGGACGCCTTATTTCGATGTTAAACCCAAGCCCTCACCCAGGGGCTGCTCAAAACACTCCAAACTCCTTAAACCCCGTTAATTTAATTTAGGATGCGTTATTCCAATGTTAAACCCACAGACCCTCACCCAGGGGCTGCTCAAACCTCTCCAAACCCCTTAAATCCCATTAATTTCCCATTAATTCGGGACGCGTTATTCCAATATTACACCCACATTCACAACCCCCCGCCCGCCCCCGCGCATGCGCCCCGCGCCTCCCCCC